TCTTACTGGTCGGGAAACCGTCACTCATCAGGACACAGGTCACGCCTGCTGCACACGCTGTCTGCTTGACTCTGCACGTTCACTGCCGATGTGGCATGCAACTAGGCCACATCGTCAGGTACGCGATGTGGTGAACGAAAGCCGTCGTTTGACTCGAGTGAAGGTGGTAAAAACATGCACATTTGATTTGAATTCCAATTGGGAATGCCATATGCATGTTCCACAGCTCCTGGGAGTTTTTTTTTGTTTTTTTTTTTGTTTTTGTTTTTGTTTTTTTTTTTTTTTTTTTTTGGGTTGTGGAGCAACCTATTGCGATCGATCGTACGAGATTCTTTTTTTCAAGTTTTATCAAGTTTTATGAAAAAAATTGATATTATTGAAGCAAAATGATGGGGAGTATTGGCAATATATTGTGGATGACTCATCTAAACTACATAGCCTCATTAGCTTAGTTTGGCAAATAATTGATACATGTTATATCACTACTACAACATAATACTTGAAACGAAACAATGATGAAAAATAGTTCATGTTTTCCATCATTTCGCGATATGTGGAAGGGAGTAATTGAAATGTGTAATATAGTGAAATGTAGTAATTACACTATAGTATTGGAAAATATAACAAAATAATGGAAAGAAAAAATAAAAATGTAGATGTAGTCATAAAGTCACCAGGCCTAACCAGTGGGACAAGAAGGGATATCATCAGGAGGGTTAGGCTCCATATATCCAGTACCCTCCCTAGAGATAGAGAGAGGATCGACAGGGTTATCCCAGTGCCATGACACACCCCCCGCTGGGATAGCGTGTACACCAGGAATTGAACCCTAGAAGGCTCTAATACCAAGTCATAAAGTCACCAGTCCTAACCACTGAGACAAAAAGGGATGTCATCAGGTGGGTTAGGCTCAATATATCTACCTTCCCCGAGGAAAAGCCTCCCTAGTACCCTCCCTAGAGATAGAGAGAGGATCGACAGGGTTATCCCAGTGCCACGACAAATGTTTCCCATGATTTCGCGTGACGTATTTTTGTCGGCGACAAAAATAGGCAATCGCTTCCCCAACTAAGTGGGGGAAGTTGAAAGCCTAATGGATAGATCACACATTTTTTTTTTAAAGGAAATGCATGTTGCGATTGCAAGAAAATAGATTGCACTTATCATCTCCAGTTCAGTTGACTGCACTCAAGGTGGAAAATCAAAGAACCTTACTCGAAACGATCAGTACAATATTTTTTATTGCATATACAAAATGCACTATCCGTGTATCAAGCAAGCAGTAGCAGAATGGAGAAGGGCAGCAACGCAAAGCAAATGGCAGCGACACAAAACTTGGACCCCAAAATGCATCACGAGAAAGAAAGGCGACAAGTAGAAGCAATTGAAACATGTTATGTGATGTGGCAGTCTACTGTAGATAAAAAGCACAGTTGGAAACCAGATCCTTTCTAACGGCATTCCTGAAGCACCAACACACGTGGCAAAAAGAAAGAGATAACATGAAAAGAACACAAGTTTATTTGAGAAGATAATGCATGGTAGAACTGGGAAAATGGAAATGAGGATTGAAGAAATGAACGACTCATGAGATAGAGGTAAAAAATGGGACGAGAGAGATAGGAGAGAGAGAGAGAGAGAGAGAGAGAAGAGAGAGAGAGAGAGAGAGAGAGAGAGAGAGAGAGAGGAGAGAGAGAAGAGAGACGAGAGAGAGAGAAGAGAGCGAGAGAGAGAGAGGAGAGAGAGAGAGAGAGAGAGAGAGAGAGAGAGGAGAGAGAGAGAGAGAAGAGAGAGAGAAAGAGAGACCGGGAGAAATGGGTGAGTAGGAGAATGAGAGGAATGAGAGAGTGGGTGAACGGGGAGAACCAAGACAATGAGAAAATCCGAGAATCAGAGAATGATAGAGTGCGTGAGTGGGAGAATGAGAGAGTGGGCGAATGGGAGAATATGCTAGCTAGGAGTAGGAGGAGCCATGGAAATGGCGAGAGGTTTTAGGCTAGTAAAGTTGAGGAGAGAAAAGAGGTCGAGTATAGCAGAGAGAGGGATACAAGGAGGGGTGTTGTACCCTCTACAATAAGTTCAGTAACGCCTACCAAGCCTACAATTATATAGCATATATATATAATTTAATACACCCCCTAGGCTTGGTAGTTGAAGAACCCGCACACACCACACCCCCTAACTTAGCAGCCCAATTTCCAGCAGCAGCCATGACAAACTCCGGCATGGCCAACCCCACGGCCCAGGAGACCGCGACGGCGGCAGCCGGCAGCAGTGACGACAGCTGCAGCAGCGGCGGCAACAGGCCAGCGGCGACAGCGGTGGCGGCTTCGACGATAGCGGCGACAGCAGTGGCGTGGCCAAGCTCCGCGACGGTGGGACGGCAAGCGAGAGTCAGCCGTCGGCTGCGGCGAGGAAGAGGGGACGCAGGGGAGAGGGGGGGGGGGGGGCGTGGTCCAGTATCACGCCGTGGCTGACGTGCGTGCGGCAGGTCTGGCGGCGCCACAGACGGTTGGACGTCGACGCCGCCGCTTACGGCTGGACGTTGATGCAACGACAGCGCGACTCCGCAGCAGCGATTCGAGACGGCCGCGGCACGACGACGCCGCCACAGCAGCACGACGCGGCCACCATGGCAGCGCGAGAGGTAGAGAAGGAGTGTGTGGCGGAAGCATGGGGAGAAGGCCTGGGAAGGGCAACCTTCTCTGATACCATGTTAAGACTAGAAAGAATATGCTAGCTAGGAGTAGGAGGAGCCATGGAATGGCGAGAGGTTTTAGGCTAGTAAAGTTGAGGAGAGAAAAGAGGTCGAGAATAGAAGAGAGAGGGATACAAGGAGGGGTGCTGTACCTTCTACAGTAAGGTTCAGTAATGCCTACCAAGCCTACAATTATATAACATATATATATAATTTAACAGTATGGTGCAACAAAAAAAAATATTTCAAGGTGCAATGAATAGAAGCGTTACACATAGCTAGCAGTCAGGGAGATGATTAAAATACCGGTGAGAGGTAAGGAGGCGCATTAGGAACCGTTGCTGGCGAGAAACATGGGAGTAGTTGGAGACAAGGGTTCAAGTTGGCGAGAAAAATGAGAGATGAGACTCCAAGTAATCTGGCCCTCGTGGCAAATTTTAAAGGGTGGAAAAACAGAAATGCCACAGTGACAAGTTTGATTAGCGCAATGGTTTGGTTCCAGACTTCAGTTGGTGATATCGTGGTTCGGTCCGAGTGAAATAGACGTGTTAACTTTTTGGCTTGCCTTGCCTTTTTCAAGGGCGTATTCCTGTTTCCTGGTACTATGCGGTGAAACGGTTAAAACACGTTTGAGTATAGTGCAGTCGGATTTCCCGCATGTTTGATCCTGGGATCATGTTATAGGACTACACCCTAAAGACCCAGATAAAATTTCACAACAAGTTATGTACAGTGCTTTGAAATATGACGTATGGAAACGAAATCACTAAGTGCATTCAAATGGTAATTGCACTATAGTATGTTTCCAAGTGTAAAATGTAAGACACTATTTCATTAATTGTCTGTACGCATGATGTTGGAATGGAACATACACGATAAAATGTCCTAAAAACTCAAATTGAGAATTATAGCTCTGCAACCCTATGACGATTCCGTTGACCCTTGTTTGCCATTGATTACACCCATCCCAATTTTTTCATGCATTTTTATTAACACCACATGGTGCTTTATATGGAGGATTACGGTAATAGAGTGCTTGATAGCACAGCGGAAGTCTTGAGTTGAACCCTTGTACTGGTATATGAGAACAACTGATTGATTATAGCCGGCGCCTTAGATATTAGGATAAAACACTCAGAAATCCTGATTTTCAGGGTGTGTTCTATTTTTGAGCCCTGAGATTTTAGGGTATTCATTTTTGTCTGGCTTGAAATTTCAGGATGTATGTTCTATAGGGCCCTGCTATTTCAGAGTGTTCTGATTTGCCAAGCCCTGAGGCCTCAGGGTATTACCGGGGACAGCCCTGATACAGGCCTCCAGTACTGACTGGGGACGATACTAGGCTTATCCCCAGATTCCCATCGAAGATGCCCAGGAATCGCACTAACACCCACCTTCATGCGCGTTTCCTGGGCTTCGCTGGTAGGGAGTGGTCTTCCGCCCATACACACCAGAACATTCAGACTTGCGCGACTCCTCCTTTGCGCACAATTTCAGCTTAGATAGACCTATCAGTGTGATCCAGCGCACCACGCAAGGCCGGCTTGTTAGCAGCAAGGGACGGAATTTCGACTGGTCGAACGAATTGTGCATGCATATCCCTTCCAATTCTGTCCCTCGTCGCACCGGCGTGCAAGCCACACTTCGTCGTTGCTGCACCTGAAACGCCCTTCCCAGCCACGCGTCTCTTTCACACCCAGCTTCACACTGCTGTGCTTTTAGGTCAGAGGCAAACTGAGAGACAATGCCTCTCCTCCTCGTCGATCTGTTACTGGCATCGCCCATGCGTTTGGGCATTACAGCCAGCCCATCGCCATGGCGGAACCAGATAGGGTTGGCAGCTGTAGTCAGACCCCTGTTGAGCCCACCCTTGCCTCTAGGTCCTGCGCTCTGGCGGGTTTAGACTTCCTGAGGCGAGTCCACGCTGTGCCTGCCTCTTTCACCCCGCCAGAGAGTGCTGTTGAGACATCTAACCCATTGGCAGCATCACCGCCTAGTCTAGCTGCGCCGGTTCCAGCACCGCCGGTTCCAGCACTCCCGGTTCCTGCACCGCCGGTTCCTGCAGCGCCAGTTCCAGCAGCGCCATTCCGTGCCGCGCCGATTCCAGCAGCGCCACTTTCCTGCAGCAAGTGTGGCATCATTGGCGCATGGTGCCACCCGCATGGGTCCAAAGCATGTCCAAGAAATTGCTCGGTGCCCGGTACCGCCAAGTCACGCTCAGCTTTAGCCGCACGCGGGGTAGCACCGCCTCCCACGTCAACCGTAACGGTGCCTGCCGATCCTGTGCCCTCTTTCCCTGACGCATCTTTAAACTCAATGCCCATCATCGACGAGGAGGAGAACAAGTACTAGGATGCGCATTTTCGGTTTAAGAAGGAATGGTCCTCGGACTTCCCATGGCTTGTGCTATGTCAGACTAAGGTCGGGTTCCCCTCTGTGAGGTGCAGTATGTGCATGCGTCATGCAGGGCCCGGAACTAACTACGGCCACGGGGGAGAAGGAGCAGTTGATGTCCAGACGCAAGCGTTTCGGAATCACCAGCGCACCAAGAAGCACAAGCGAGCGGTGCGGAATCAGGCCATCGCGGAGAAGCTGGCTAAGGGGCAGAAACGAATCGAGGACTGTCCATCGGCGTATGACATCGTGAAGGTGCTAGGATTAAGAACGGAGTCTAGAATTCCTCAAAATATAAATCCGAAATTCTGGACAGAAAAGTTGTCTTCACAAGAAACGATGTCGACGAGCAACTAGCCGTTGGAATGTCGCGAAACTCGGATATGTCGTATCTCTTAATGTCAGCTACCGTTCTCTATTTGAATCACATTGATTGATGAAGTATTCGCGACGCTATGGCTTTCGACGCATTAGGGGGTAAGCTGTAGGAGGAGACTTAACTCAATCTCAAAGTTCAATCAAAGTTCAAGAATCTCACAAGGAATTAGAGGAGCAAGAGAAAGGTTGGGATAGAAGAGAGGGATGAGAGGGAAGGTCCCAAGAGAGTCCCCAACCAAGGAAACCCCATAAGCACAAAGATTCCCTCCCTATAGGAACCCCAACTTTGACATTTGTCCCTTCCCAACCAATCCATCCAAGTTGGCCACCCTTGCCAACCTAGCTTGGTTGTTCCCAACCAATTTGCAGCTGTTACAGTAGAGTGACGAATTTCCCAACCCCAAAGGTCCCAACTCCATATAGAGTCACCCCACAACTTCACTTTGTAACCGCCGCAATTGTAACGCAAGCTCATGAACTTTGAATCTTCATAGCTTTCGCGTTCTTGCTCCGATTGAAGGATTCTGTTGCGTCGGAAAGATCTTCTCAAGATCTATCACAAAATACCTGCTCAACAAATAACACAAACACATTCCCAAACTCCAGAACACACACCACACAAATTCTTGCACATTCAAACCACACATGAATTGAAACAGGGATGGGAGGCAGACAGAATGTGATAGCATATGATGACATCACACAACAATCTCCCCCTCTGGCTGCCAACCATCATCCACCATACCACATCTCAAGCATGCATACTCAATGCACACTCATCCCAGCAAGCTTCATGCCCTTCCAATGATCCGCCTCCGCCAGACGCTTAGTGAAAATATCTGCTGCCTGCTGATGGGTCTTCACTATCTCCAGCCGCACCTCCTTATCAAGGAGTCTCCTCACCCAATGCCACTTAGGCCTTATGTGTTTTGTCAGCCCATGCAGACAAGCATTCTTGGCGAGCTTCACAGCAGACTCATTGTCACAGAACACAACTGTCGGCTCCTCCTGACCAACTCCCAACTCCTCCAACAACGCCTCAGCCACACCACTTCCTTGGCCCCATGGTGTAAGGCCATGTACTCAGTCTCACATGAGGACAATCCCACCTCATTCTGCTTCTTGCTGCGCCAGCTCACAGCACCACCTCCTAGCAAGCACACATAACCCCCAATGCTGGTGCCATCCGCTTTCACTGAGTTGAAGCTAGCGTCAGTACCTTGGGCTGAGGAATTGCAGCCCAATAGCACAATGCAATCTCATCTTCCTCAATCTGCTCAACACACTCCCAGCCTGCACCACATTCGGCTTGCCTCTTCCCCCATAGGTCAGCCTCACGGAGGGCGCACATCCCTCCTAGGTCGCTCAGGCGGGTGTGGAACTCGAGGTGGAGACTCATGCTGCTGCTGCTGCTGCTCCACTTCAGCTGCTCCCCCTTCCTCAGTCACCCCAGACATCTCCTCCTCAGACACTGCAACCTCCACCTGTCTTGAAGGCCTGCCTCCACAATGAGCGGTGTAGATGGAAGCTTCTGTTGCTGCTGCTTCC